CATTTTGATATATTAATTTAGAACTAGTTGCTAAGGGATTAGGACTAGTATGCCTTGATGTGAATGTTTGAATGAAATAATGATATATTGTACAAAGTTTTATATTCATATGATTCATGAAACCCAATTCCAACGAAGTTTCTTTTAAATATAAATTTCTTGCACACCAACTGTTTGATAAAATACCAAAAATAGTTTCTTGTGTTGTTTTGTGCATTTTGATGTCTAATTGAGTTATAAAAGGAAGAATTGTCATGTGTTGCACAAGTCCCTTGGGAGACGATACTTTTACTTATTCACTGTATTACTTGGAACGATTTGGTATACTTGTCAAAAAGTTAACAACAAGAAACAATAATCACAAATATAATGTAAAAGGTGCACTGTTTACTAAATCAAGGTTGAAAAATGAGTTGAAAGGAGAAAACACAACACGAACCCACTTAGGAAAAAAAATATACTACCTTGTTGAAATTTAACTAAAACAAAACAAGGAAAACTGTCAGGAATTAACATTGTAATCAAATAAAACCCTAGCTTAAACAATCTAAGAACAAAACCACGATTGGGAAATATTATTGTATAAGAACGTACAAAACCTTGATGATAGGAAGAAAAGAGTATACCTTGGGGAAAAACATTGCTTGGTGAGCGTGGCGCCGTTTGTGCCACCCATCATTTTGGCGATTGCAAAGAGTCTAGATTTGTAGCGATACAACATGTCATCGATTCGAGTGATTATGTCTTCCACTGCTCTTGTGGGAAAGGAACTTGAGGATTCTGTGAGGGCCAAACTTCCCAACGCCTTTGATTCAAAGAGAGAATCAAAGACGAACAACATTGATTCAAAGACATTGCCACTTCAAAGAACCCTAAATCAATTTTTCCCCAATTAAAAAAACCTTACACGTCAACGTCTAACTACGTAACACGTCACCACGTATACAACTTTAAATTAACACATTAAGATCATCAATGCCTTAACTCTATTTGTTTCTATTTAACGGAATGGACGATTTTGACGCAAAATTTAATAACTGAGGACCACTTTCAAATACTTTTAAAACGAGAGACTGAATTGATATTATTCAACTAAACTTAAGACAAAATACGCCATTAAACCTAACTATAATAAGTTTTTGTATATATTCACTTAGAGAGAATTTGTCCTCTCATTTTTTTTTACAGGTGATAGTAGTTGTATACTAGTAAAATAGATGCTATATTCTTACTTGTGAATAATCAATATAATCAATGATAATATAATTCTTTTTTAGATAATGAAAGAAAATATATTTTAAACTAATATATTCGTAAGTTAAACTACAAATTTGAAATAAAAGACTTGTTATAAACTTTTTATCAAGGAAAAAATACTATAATTTTTCAATACTGTAAAAATAGTTTGATATATTTTTCACCTATCAATTTTTTAAAGTGGTTCTAATATATTTTTCTTTTAGTTCTTACTGGTTGCTTTGGTCTTTAAAAGACATTGTTTTTTTTTAATCTTTGTATTGTATGAAAAATTTCTTTAAAATAAACAATATATATTGTAGGAGTTAAAATAAAAAATATTTTATTAACAATGGTAAAAAATTAAAAAGTTTTTTTTAACAAGATTTATTAAAAAGTTATAATTCTAAAAACGAAAAAATATATTACAAGATAATTTTTTAATTCTTTGAGAAATGTTAATTGGTGAGAACACTTTTTCTAACATTCTTATATATTCTATCTTTAACACTTTTATTATTTATTAACATTGATTAAAAATAAAGTTTTATAGATTATTGAAATTCACATACAAAACTAATCTACTGAAAAATAAGATATTTCAAACTTCGTGATGTTTCAGAAACTCCCACCGGCAAAAAGTTTTACGAAAGAACGTTAAAAGAGGTTTTTTTTTTTTCGGTTTTTAGAAAGAACTCTGTGTTATCTCTTCACAAAATTTATGTTTTTTTATTAATGTGTAAGAAGTAGTCACCTTCTTCTTGCTTCTTCTGCTCCACTGAGCACAGAGTGAGCACAGAGTGAGCACAGAGTGAGTACAGAGTGAGTACAGAGTGAGTGTACAAAACTACCAACTTGGTGAGTTCTCTCTGGATAAGACTTTCGTCTGTTTTCCCCATCGTTTATCTTTCACCCTTTTGCTCAATCTTGATGTTTCCTCAAAAAACTTGTATTTTTCACCACCCTTTATCATTTTATGTATCTTCTAGGTTGTGGGGCTTATAATCTGCAAAGACGAGGTTCTATTAGCTAATGTTAGCAAAATTTATTCGAGAGATTCTGGAAAACTGTCTCTATTGTTCCTTCTTATTTTAAATTTCAAAACTTTATTGCTGGTTATTTCTGATTTTTATTTTGGGTACATGTAGTTATTTTAACATTTTAGTTGCCTGGTGCAAAATTGAAAATTATGCTGCTGGATTAATTCGAATGGATCAAACAAAAATAATTTCCTTTGAATTCAAGCATTTTCTTGTTTGAAAACTTATTGGTGTTTATACCGACCTAGCCAAATTTGAAGTACTTGAAATTTGTGTTGCCGTTGTTAACCAGGATTTCATGTTAAATAATCTCTCTGAAGATTGGTGTTTTTACGTGTGAGCCGAACAATGTTGTGTGACCCATGTAGTTGATCTTACTTACTGTATAAGAATTTTGATACTGTTATGCATCTCTCGTAACATTATGGTTTCGGTTAATAGAGGTCCAAATTGAAAATTTATTGGTGATTATATAGGGCTGGGAAAATTGGGGCTACTTGGAATTTGTGTTGCATATTCACTTGTGGTAACATTATGGTGCAGCAGGTTAATAGAGCTGAAAGACAACAATACACTCGTCCCTTACAAATTTCTCATACAATCCATGATTGTCTTACACCCTTTTGCTTTCGTCCCTTCTTGTACCACCATTACATGCTCAAAACCTTTTTCTCATGACAATCACTTTGTGCCATCTTCAATGGCTCTCCGGATATTCCCGAATAATGCCAGGACAAGAACATTCTTATGTAGTGCTAGTAGTCAGCCGATGGATTTGAATGGTATGGATTTCAATATAGACGTCATTAAGGAAGATTTGGAGCTTCGGGGTGATGGCGAAGGTGGGTTTTTGGGTCAAGGTTTGTATGGAAGAAGTGATGAAAATGACATTGTTGAAAAAGCAGCACAGGAAGGTGAAGATGATGATTCTGGATATTCAGATCGAGGATCATATACAGGTAGGCCAGAGAAGGATTATGATAAAGATCCAGAACTCGGTAACATTCTGGGGAATTTTCTGGAGAATCCCCAAGAGGCACAATCCCAGGTAAGCATCACTGTATTAATGGTTTGACAACTTCAGCCTTGCATTATAGACTCTATCTTTTGGTGGTGGTGGGGAGGAGAGGTAATTTTGTTTCTAAGTGTGATGTTTGTTACATTTCTTGTTGTTGAAAAATTAAAGAATAGCATATGTGAGCTACTTTGAATTCTAATACCGAGGAATACTATTTGTGCTTAAATTAATCGAAAGAGCTTGATATATTTGCAGTTGGAAGATAGATTAAGAAAGAAGAGGCACAAAGTACTGCACACAAAGACTGGATCTGGTAAACCAATGAAAGTGTCATTTAACAAGTAAGCTCAACCATGCATATATGTGTGATTGTACCATGCAGTTTTTCTGTTATTAGTGCAATTTTGCTTGCGTAGTTGCGTTTTTCTTATTTTGAAATTCAAATTTCTTCTCAGTTTGGTGTGCCAGATTTTACTGGTATAATAACCTTTCATGTTTAGTTACTGGCTAATAAACTCTCTTCAATTTACTGGTGAAATACCTTTGTGAATTTGTAGAAATGTACGCTTGAGGAATGATAGTTGTTGTTGTTAGTTCATTGGTACAGTGATTGAGATTTGTGAATATATACTTTCTCTTTCATATTCTCTTTCCAACTAGCATGTAGGACATTGAAGCAGTCTCTTTGTTGATCAAAGTGATATGATATGCTTTACATGGATACCGTGTGCCAATAAAAAAAATGGATACCGTGTTATTTCATGTCAAACTTAACGTATTTAAGGTGGAAATGATCTTTTAGCACTCAAGCTTACCTTTTCAAGACTTATAGGGGGGAATAAGAATAAGTATTGAAATTAGTTTCAGATTATGCGCTTGCCTAGGGCATGGTTTGAAAGAAATTCAAATTCTAAGATGGTTAATACTCAAAATTTGGTTATGATTGCATTATGTTTGAATTTCTTGAATAAGTTGATATCACTTTGGAATCTGGTTAGTTTGTGTTACTTTTAACTTTAGTGGATACAATGGTTCTGCTTCCTGATTAAATATGCAAATACCTTAAGTCAAACAACTTTAGAAAGAACTATCCAATTTGTTTTATCTTTAAGAGTAGTGGTTTGGGTAGAGGGCAAACCTTGATGCAAAGTTAAAGTTGCTTCTTGGGTGACTAATTGAACATGGGTTTGAATTTGTAACCAACCTCTTTGCATATGCTAATAAGCCTTATCACCTGGGTATGCTTGTTTTATTTATTTATATTCAGTTAGTGGTTTGAGAGATTTGCATTAAATTGTTATAACGTGAACTGATTAGTTAAATATTTGAGTTAGTTGTCATTGAACCAGCTCAGATTCAAGTTAAATCTTTGACAGGAACCCTAAAACTACTGGGTTGTTCTAAGTGTAAGTCGATTTAAGGTCAGATAAAAAGGATGAGTAGAATGACTTGAGCAACTTTGATGTTTGTGAGGAAAAAGTGGATAATTTAAGATGATGATGTTACTGGGATTTTCTAATTACTATTTTGTGAAGATCTGACTAAAATTTTAATTGGTGTAACAATTTAGTCAGAGAACACATGATACAAAAATGATATATTCTGTGTTTTTCTTCTTTATCGAAAAAGTATTATATTTATCTTACAGTTAATGATGGTATTTCCAGATTTGATTTTTCAAACTCATTCATATGGTTTGAATTCTACAATGTTCCATTGGCCAAAGACATTTCCTTAATTTGTGATGTAAGGAACTTTTCTCCATGATTAGTTTGTTGTGCATTCTCCATTATAAGCATATGGTTATTGAAAATTGTGTTGAAATTGGATCTTTGCAGACAATTCGATCATGGCACATTATTGGGCGTCTTGGTGGATGCAATGCCATGAATATGCAAGTAAGTTTTTCTCTTCTGCAGCTGATACAAAATTTTCATTCTCCTTTTTCCTTTATAGTTAACTTTTTGTGAGCTTTTCAAACATTGTTGCTTATAGAACTAGCATTTGCACGTTTAGCTTTCACAGTCTCCATTGGATGCACGACCAAGTTATGATTATATTCAAGGAGCAAATGTTGAACCAACTACATTTTACAACATAGGGAATCTTGAGGTGCAAGACAACTTGGCTCGAATATGGTGAAGTGTCAATTGCATTTTCCATATACGTATTACTGTAATGGTGAACTGCAAATACTAATAATTTCTTCTTGTGTTATAATAATAGGGTGGATATTGGAACTGTTGAACCTTTGCTTCTGGATGTTTTGATAAATGCTTTGACACAGATAAGCTCCGAGTATGATCTCCACTTTCTTTATTCTATTAATTAATCACTTTGGTTCACTTGTTTACTCAAAATTACCTTATCACAGGAAGCCACTAACCAAAACTATTTATTTAGGAATCAACAGATTTGATTCGTTCTTGTTAATCTCTCTTTGGGATCAGTTTACTGATTATTTAATACACAAGTTAATTCACATTTGTTTACAATCAGAAAATTCGCCTTTTTGATGCAAATTATTGATTTATCAGTTCTAAGTAGTTCTGATTGTGATAAGTGTTGAGAAATATATTTTAAGCTTAACTAAATCTTACAACAATGGTTTGTAAGATGAGATTTGCATCTATTTATATATTTTAAATTAATCTTATTTCTAACTGATGAGAGGCTTTCAACAATAAGATTTCCAAATCTTTATAATATCTTATTATTTTGAAGGGCTATAATAAGCAAGGAAAAAAAAAGTGAATCTTAGTGAAAAAATTTAAGCCATCTTTTTACTTTACATCTTGGATATTTTGTTTCAATCCCATTATGATTTTTATTTTGTTCTCTTGTTTTTGTTTGTGATAGTTTTGTTGGGATCAAGCAAGTAATGTTTGGTGGAGCAGAATTTGAGAGTTGGAATGAGGATTTGAAATCAGAGGAGGCAGGTTATGGTGTTCACAAAATCTAGCCATTTTTTAAGGCATATGAGCATTTTGAAATTGTCTGACAAATTTCTGCAACTGCAATTTTAAATACAATTATAAACACAAGTCATTTTAATGTGATTGAATCTCAATGCTTTAACTTGTTAATGTCTGCCTCTGAGAGATTTTTGTTCAAGTTGATATGGGGAATCAATGCCTGATAAGTTGAATAACAATCTACTCTGAAGGATTCTTTTCAATTATTTGCTAACCATATGACCTTTTTTTTTTCAGTTGTAAAAAGATTACAGAAATATCATTCTATGTCACATTTAGAAAGTGAAATATTTAAAATATATTATCTAATTCAAAATAGTTAATTGAGTGATGTTTGCAATTAAACAATGTAGATATTTCGTTAATATTATTATTTGATAGTGCATACAATCCTAAAGTATTTATTAAATATAAGATGTAATTAAAAGCTTTATTATTTAAAATATAATATTTCATTAAAGTAATATAATTTTAAAGATATGAAAAATAAACAGATTTATAAGAAAAAAGGGTGAGAGTTGGAAGATTAATTTTTAGTTATGCAATTATTTACCATTATCTATTTTATCACATAATAAAAAAGATATTAATAATAAAGAAAATGTTTTCGTATTGAAAGAAATAATACCAGTAATAGTTAATTCTTTTAACAAAGGTATAGTATTAAAAAATATTAACTTTCAATATGAAATATAATAAATTCTAAAAAAATTTAAAATAATAAATTTAAATAAATTATAAACAAATATTTCATTTATATAACTTTTGTTATATCATAAAAATTATTTAAGATTTTAAAATTATAATTAATATCATAAAAATATCTAAATAATTATTTATTTAATATAATACTCTAATATGCATTTTTAACTATTTTTGCTCTTTTAAATCAAATCTAACTTTTTATTTTTATTTTTCTATAACTAATAGTAATAAAACTATTTTTATAACTACTAGGTAATCTTTTCTGTGTTCTTGTTAGTATAAACTACCTTATTGATTTTATTTTAGATTTCATAACTACTTTTTATAATTCTGTTTTGAAAATATATTTTTTATAAATTAAATAATTTTTTTTATATTAATAATAATTAAAATAAATAATTTTTATTCATATATAAAATAAAAGGGAAAACACATGCCACTCATGTGTTTGCACTTATCATCATAAAAGAATTATGATGTAGTTATTCATAAAGAGGATTGATTTCGTAACTCCATCTTTTATCATTTTACCATTTTTGATTTGCAGCTAATTTTTATATATACTTATTTTTTTCTCCCTTTTCTAACTGTCATAACTCTTAAATTTTATATAAGTGGAAGCTAGGTGTAGGTGCAAAGGATTTGAAATTCAGAAAATGAAAAATAGATGTGGGCAGCCGAGTGGACGATCGATTTTTGACGGTAGTATATAAATTAAGTTTTCAGATTTTCGTGTCACTTTCCTGCATGCACCTTCTTCTCCAAAAGTTCTGAGTTTCAGTTTTCTCTTCCTTCTCTCTAAACTTCTTCTCCTTCTCTCTACAAATTCTTACCTTTTCTTTCTTCCGATCATCAATCAAGCAACACCTGAGTTCTCCTGGTGTTAAGGACTTCACTTTGCACTGATCAAATTGGTGTTTTGGGATTGAAGTTTGTAGGAGGTTATGGAAGTTACTGGCGATGTAAGCAATACTGTGAAAGCATAGGAGTTTTTCTAGGTTTCGAGGTAAGGGAAGCTTGCAATTTAATTATGATTCTCTGTTTTGAATGGTTGCATGTTTGAATGATGTTTGGTTTAGTTATTTGGTTGATATGAATTATCAATGTTATTGTATGTTCGTCTGTATATGTTGATGATTGATAAATGGTGTGAACTGGGTAGGAATAAAACTTGATCATGATTCTGCAGTATTTGTGCATAATTCGTTAATTGTCGCCGAGAGTCATTCATGACCGTTTGGTTTCTCTTGGTGTGTTCGGTCTTAATTGAATTCTCATTCTATGGAGAATTTCAGTTAATGACCGATCAGTCTTCAATTAGTATATTTGAAAGTAAGCGTTCGGTCTTAGTATAATTTTCTATTTTTGCTTAGTAATCAGTCTAGTTAAGGTATTTAGTATAATTTAAATCTTAGATACTATAATTATCCTCACTTATAAATAAGTGTTTCGTAGTTGTGCGGTCGAATCTATTTATTCATTTTATATAAGCTCAGTAGTGCTCGGTCTTGTACTGTCACTCGGTCTCAATAGTGCTCGATCTTATACTAGCACTCGGTCTCAATAGTGCTCGGTCTTATACTAGCACTTGGTTTGTATTGGTGTTTAGTTTAAATTCTAAGTATTTGTCCTAAGTCTATAGTGTTCGGCCTAAGCTTATAGTGTTCGGCCTAAGTCAATAATGATTGGTCTAAGGCAATAGTATTCGTTCTAACTCATAAGGGTTTGGTCTAAGATTTGAGTGCTCAGGTTTAACCTTAGTATTTGTTTGTTCTAGTGTTCGACCCTAAAATTGTGTTCGGATCATGATTGAGTCTTGCTCTTTAAATGACCGCTCGATCATGATCATATATGGGTAGTGTTTTTCTGTCCGGCTTGTTCATAAGATTTGTGGATCTTTATGTTCGATAGTTCCCAAGGGTGATGTTGTTTTACTGTTCGATTTGATATTTGTATAAATGAAAAAGTATGATGGAATTAAAGTATGATGTGATTTGTATTATATGGATATGAACGAGTGTTCCAAGGAAGAATATCTCATGGATGGTTATTGAATGGTAAAGTATGAATGTGGTTATAGCTTAGCTGGCTTTTATCTTGATATTCTGTGATTACTCGAAGAGTAACTCATGTGTGAGAATGGCAGGAGGTCCAAGTCCATAAGGTGAACTTGGGCGAGGTATAGTGGACTAACCTCGAGTGACAGCTGTTGAGGGCATCTCAGCTACTACACCATCCGGGTGCATAAACGTCATATAGCTACATAATTCATACAGTCCGAACAGTCAGAGTAAAAGTGGTTGGTCATTGCATGTAAATTCCAGTCGGTTATTGTATGAAATTGCATGTGTGATGATTGTATGCTATATGTGAATTTGTTCGGTTTTTATGATTAATTAAATTACATAAACTTACCCTACTCTCTTGTCTTGTTTATGTTGTCCATTCGATCATCCTTCTTGTTGCAATGATCATCCTATGGATGTGAGCAGAAGGAGATGAGGGTTCGCTGGAAGAAGCTTTGGAAGGAGAGAATATTGAAGTTGTACCTTAGGATCGTTCGGTGAGTAGGATTAGTATTATTTTGTACTACCGTTCGGTTTAAACGTAGTTTTGGAACCGTTCGACTTTTTCTTCTAATTTGTACGAGAATGTATTAGTTATTACAAAGTTTTAGATTATATTTTGTGGGATGTTACACTTTCATATAGTTTTAGGTTATATTTTGTGTGATGTTACACTAACCATTTTCATTCTATAACTATTATTCTCTTTTATATGATTTCTTTTTTTTAAAACCTATATGCATGCGATTTTATTTAACATTTTATTTTTATAATGTAAAATTACTAAAAGAAATATAAAAATAACTTATATATAATCATAAAAAATAACCATAATACCACAAATATGAATTCTGGAAATTATTAAAATAAAAAATATTTAAATAAATTATAAACATATATTTTATTTATGTAACTGTTTTAATATCATAAAAACTATTTAAAATTTTAAAATCATAATTAATATCTTAAAAATATCGAAATAATTATTTATTTTATTTAATACATTAATAAATATTACAATTAAAATTAATGGTTAAATATGTTTTTAGTCCCTAAACTATCAAGCGAATTTGTTTTTAGTCCCTCTTACTTTACATTTTAGTCCTCCTCCTTAAAGAAACCTTAATTTTTGGTCCTTCGAAACTAACACCGCTAAAAACCAGCTGAGCTGGTTGACAGTGTAGTGCCACATAATTTTTTTTCTGACATCACTCCTACCAGATTTTCTCCCCTTCCACCAACCCAACCCCATTCCCCCACCATGGACCTCAACCCCCAAACGGCGCAACGCCCCCCACCCCCCGTCGCCCTTGCGATGTTCCCACTGCCCCTCAGCCATCGACGATCCACTTAGCCACCCACTGCCCCTTCCCGCGCCGCTTCCTCAAATTCCCCGCCATGTCCCTTACCGCAACACCTTCCAAAAATACCACCACAACCACTGCCCTCACCGCTAACGTTTGGCCATGTAATGTTTGCCACGTTTGAGAACATGTATGATGACCGTGATGCTCCTTCGCTTGTTCATCCGCACCTACATTTCCTTAGAGTTCCAAAACTACCTCCACTTAAAAATATCAAATGGATGTAAAAACTGTATTTCTAAATGGCTACATCAAGGAGGAAATATTTGTAGAACAACCACCTGGATTCCAAGACTTTGAGTTCCCTAATCATATTTTCAAGCTGAAGAAAGCCTTATATGGACTCAAACAAATTCCAAGATCATGGTATGAAAGGTTAAGTGAGTTCCTTCTCAAAAAGAAGTTTCAAAGGGGTAAAGTTGATTCAACATTATTCATTAAGAAATCTAGAAAATATTTCTTGTTTTTACAAATATATGTTGATGATATAGTATTTGGATCTACTAACCCTCTTTTGTGCAAGGATTCTCTAAGAATATGCAGGAGGAATTTGAGATGTCCATGATCGAGGAGCTAAACTACTCCTTGGACTGCAGTGAAGAAAGAAAGTGCTGGCATTTTCATTCATCACTCAAAGTATTATGCTGATCTATTAAAGAAATTCAAGATGAATGAGTGTAAAGAAGTTGCCACTCCTATGGCTACAAACTGCTACCTGGACAAAGATGGAAAAGGTAAAGATGTAGACCAGAAAATGTATAGAGGTTTGTTGAATCACTTTTTAGTCGCAATAAAAGTTAACAAAACCTAAGTTCCCCACTAATGTAGTAAGAGGGAAAACTTCGGGATCAATCCAAGGACTTGAATAACCTAAGTTTACAATTGTAGAGTTAAAACCTAATTATTATTTACTAAAACTAAAACTAGATGGGAAAAGAAAAATTAATGAAATCTAAACAAAAGAA